AACTCGGAGAGGTCGGGTCAAGGCTGGGATAGTTAGGGCAACAAGATGTAAAGAGCCTACGTAACCTATGAATCACCGCCCACAATGGGCGGAGCATGCGTCGAAAGTTTGTGGTGTCACTGGAAAGGTTCACATTCTCCAAATAGTGTTCCCCAAATAATTCAGTAACTCGCACGGCACCGAATTACCCCTAGAGCCGAGTTTCAGCAGGAATTTTTTCTGAGTTTTTTTTTGCATTTTACTGGTTCGGCAGTGCCATTCGAGTTTTTGTGCAGTAAACATTTCAAGGTCCAATTTCTGTTTATTCGAAACATTCGTCATAAAGTTCATTATGTATTGCCTCATACGAGTTTACAGCTCATCATGAGTGGTCTGTAGATGCTGTACAAATAAAAGAAAAGCCGGAAATTGGTGGAATGTTCAAACACGTGAAAGAAGGTGACACTTCAACTGCCTAGTACAGCTCCTAGCTTGACAATTATCCACAAACTAGGAAGGTCCCCTCCTATCTTAACCCATTAGCGCCAAACTATCTTACCCCCAACTAATGGCCATTTATCAGAAATCGTGGGTAGAGGGTCAGTAATTTTTTGTGACCTCTTTTTCGTCGCGATTAAATGAGGCTGTGTCGCACTTAGGTGCAAAGTGAGCCTAACTAAGTACAAAAACTTCGCACTTGAGTGCGAAATCATTGCACTTATTAGTAGGCACGAAGTAACCTACATTTATGGTTGTTCGTAGATGCCACTACGCTGCCCACAAGACTGAAATGATCAAGAAAAAGGTCAGTAAATCGAGAACCAGCAATGTGAATAGGAAAAAGAAGTGTTTTCATAAAAAGAGACACTGCAAGAAAATGCGGCACTGCTCTCTCTTGCCCACTCATGGGGACTGAAATTAAAAAAGGCAGACTTTGGTTAAAATTTTGCCCAGGACAGATGGACTGCAATTTTGTTCTCGGAGGTAGTGACCCCGAGAAGCCCATTGAATAAGATTATCACGTCCGCTTGGATCGAAATCGCCCGACGCTTGTGCTACAGGCATCGGCGCTGAAACACCTGGAACAGGGCACATCGCTGTTGGGGATTTCCCAACAGGGAGGGGGTCGTATTTGGTCGCTGCGAGAGGAAGTCGTATTTGGGCTGAGAACAACCGTTGTTGGGAGGAGGGTTCGCATTTGACATACTTGCCTTTGACCTTCTGGGAGAGGTTGCTGACTTTTCGTGGTTTTTCCTGTTTCGTGTGTACTGTAACCCCCCCCCTCACCTCCCCGCCCACAGGGGTCGTACGGACTCGACCAAAATCCCCAACCAGCGATATGCCCTGACTGGAAACAACATATTCATCGAACCACTCATCCGTTCCTGGTGGTTGACCTGACAAGCGTTCCGATTTCTATCTCTTCTATTAAAATTTGATATTTAGCCTTCCCCGGAAACGTTCACTTTTTAACACCACGCCCCACATCACGCTTTCCTACCCTGCATCAACCGTTTTTCTTCTTGCTTACTTTTATCTACATATTATATTGATGAAAATGCACCGAACGTTTCTTGCTAGCATCAGCACCTTCCTGAGCGCAGCTAGCCTCTCTTGGCTTCCGGGAGTCGGACAATACATACGTGGTTTGCGCACAGTCCCGCGCACCACATCTGGGGCCGCTGTTGTGCAAGTTCTCGGCGTGCATCAACTTGTCGAATGAAGCAGCGAGACTCGTACACCTCCATGCCTAGCAGGCCACGTCATGCGTTGGGGAATTCGGCAAAGTCCGTTCGACTACCCCTGAAAAGGAAACTAGGAGCTACCTCCTCACTTTTACAATCTGACTTTTTCCAACCTTATTGTTTGCGACACCTTCTTATTATATT